CCTGCTGCGTCTGGCTGCTCGAGCAGACGGCCCATCACGGCCCTTCTCTGCTAGGCCACCAACTTTCCGGGGCCGTGTCCCACCGTACAGCTGCCTAAGCCGTTCCCCGTGTGTCAACGAGAAACACCTCTGCAATCGGTGTGCCTTTTGCTGCTGCCCGAGGTGGTTTGGGGCTGCTGAGGGAGCTCTGCCCGACAGCAGGCACTGGTTTTTATTATCTGGCTCTGACAGAGGCCATGTTTCCAGCCACGAAAGCGAAGGTGACCCTGTTGAGCATAGCTGGTTTGGTGCCAGGAGATAACAGGGACCGTTTAGGAGGCTGTGTGATAAGCAGGAGCAGTCGGAGCTTGGACTGGGCCCAGCGTTCACTGGGCAGCGAATGGGACGTGCGCAGTGCTGCAGCTACGCGCTGGAAGGGACGAGCTGCAGGTCCTGCAGCTGGGATTAGCCTAGCTGTAGAGCATGCCAACCTAACCCGGTAAAGGTAGCTCCCCGAGCCCGGCTCCTGCCAGAAGGGATCATTCTGTGCGTGTCTGAGCTGTAGGAAAACTGTTAACGAAGAAACCAGTGGCTCAGTCACCGAACAGCTCGCTGTGGAGTGTACCAAACTGGTTTATTTGTATTTTCAGAGTTTGTGGTAGAGACTGACCTCTCGTCAGCCAGGGGTGCCTCAAAGCTCTCCTGAGAGTGGTGCAGGACAGGGGATCCTCTTGTAGGCAGGTCTGTCCCGCAGCAAACGCACGCCCGTGGTTTACAGTCACCCTTAATGTGTGAATCCTGTGTCTCTCTATTTCCCTGTCCTGTCTCCTGCCTCTAGTGAGACTCAGATCCCAGAGAAGAAAATCATCTGGTTTTATTGAGATCTTAATTTTCTGGCTTTCTGCCAGTTTATATTGTCTGGTCATGAAGAACAGAAAAGCTGAGGAAATGAAAGAGAAGAAGCACTGTCAGTCGAGCACCTTGCTGCACTGGTTATTTGTGCTGCTGGCTCCCAGACTGGGGAAGCGTTTGGGTTTTTCACCTACTTTTGCACTTTCTGACTTTGTTAAAATCTGGGCAAAGGTGGGATAAATCTCTATGTGCATTTGCTGAAAGTGCAAGAAGCTTTTCGTGCTTATCGGCAGCTTCTAACACAGGCGAGAGTCCGTCTCAGTGACAGTGCTTTAGGTGTCTTACTGGTGACCTGTGTGATGCTCTTCCACCACGTGGGCTTTTCCTAGGGATACTGGCATTCCGGAACCCTTGCCACTTCTGTACTCACAGGCAGTACTAGCACTTCAGTGATCTAACTTGAGATTTGGGGTTTTTAGAGGGATTTTTCCCCCCTGCCATAGCCCTGGGAAGGTGAGAGGGGTCTGCCTCAAAACATGCAAAGATCTCACAAATTCAGACTCCTCCTGCACATCATAATCACATCCAAACCATCTTGTTTATAAAGGCTTAAATGCTGAATGCTGGTTTGCATCTGCATGGAAAATGCCATTTACTAATTGGTTTCTCCTACAGAAACTTATTAGTTGTATCGCACCTGTCCCCTTTTGAAGGGAGGGACAAGGTTGTGTCCGTTGGAGAGTACAAACTGCTACTCGTGCCCGAGGCTGACAGCAGAAAACTGCAGCAATCAGCTCGGGAAAGGAGTAGTGTGAGCAGCTCAAACGCTGTTATAAGATATTTTACACACGAGCTGGATAAAGCCACTGTGATGTTCATTTCATTTGAAATTATTTAACTGCACTAGTGCTTTTTCATGTAGGTAAGAGCCAGAAAACCTTAAATTTCCAGTTGTTGGAATTTGTTATAAGCTGTTTCTTTGTCTTCCTTGGAATCAACAAGGATTTGTGAGCTGTCAGCCCCTGCAGGAAGGAAAAAAGTAAACAAGGACAAGGGTGGAGCTTTCTGAAGGTTTAAATATTTCTCCTCAATACCGTGACACAGCTCCAAGCATTTTTGCAGAGCTCATTCTGCTATAAATGGGTTGAGTATTGCTGGGAAAACCACTTGCAGCAGAAGCATTCACAAGAAACTTGTCTCTGCAGCTGAAAGTGGCCCCTGTACTCATCCCCTTCCGGAAACCTCCAAGTTCAGGGCAGATGTTTTGCTTCTCCTTGCCTATTTTATTAAGAAACTCAGAAGATTAGACCAGGCAAAGAGGTGAAGTGATTAACAGCTTGAATCTGTTTGGCCTTTGGGCACCTGCAGCCTGCAAGAGTCTTGTTCCTTAGCAGTTGCTTTAGAAACACGTTTAAGTGATCGCAAGCACTTTAATTGAATTTATAAGACTGTGGCCACCAAGAAAGAGTATCAGCTTGCCAACCTGCCTAATTTTTGACACTTAGTGTTTTATCACTTAGATTTTTCAGTCCGTTTTTTTCCATTTTCAGATCTTTTATGACCTGGTCAGACAGATAAATAGAAAAACACCAGTGGAAAAGAAGAAGCCTAAAAAGAAATCATGTCTGCTGCTTTAGACTCCCGTGGCGCAGCAGCTCTGAGCCAGGTAAGGGCTGTCTCAATTCTACCTACAGCTCAGGTGATCGACTGTGAGCTGCTCCCAGCAGAGAGGGACTCACTCCCTTGCCCTCCACTCCCCTTCCGTATACTCCCAAATATAAAATTCCTTCCCATTCTGCTGCCTCTGTTGGCCTTTTGATGTCAGTTCTACTGACTGACCCGGCAGAGAAGTGTCTGCTGCTCTGCCTTTCCCCTTTCGCTTGGGCTGGTGAGCGTGACAGAGGAGGAACTAATGGAGACAGGCAAGAGGTTTCCTTTTTACTCTTGCAGGTTCTCTGTCTGTCTTGTGACACCCTGCTCTGAGCCACCATGGCTCAGTTTTGCTTCCTTTTTATCCTCTGCTGGAATTTAGTAGCATCCATGTAACTCATGTTCTTGTTGCAGCTGCTGTCTGGGGCCTAGGTGATAGGGGACAATTGCAAATCGGTGGGGGTGGGACATGGATTTCAGTGGCACAGAAAGAAAAAGCTGCCCACTAAAAAAAAAAAAAATCAAAACGAAAACAGAAAGCCACACCAAGGTTGGACATAGCTATAAATAATCTCCCTGCGTATCTTGGCTGGGTAGTCTGTGTGCTTACGGCTGTACTGAAAGAAAACAGCATTTCTGAGGCTTCAGGTGTTGGACAGGCACTGTCTCGGCCGCCCCGCGAGCGGTTAGCATGGCTCGGAGGCAGAGGAGGGTGCCGGGTAGGCGGCCCGTCTCGGCACCAGGCAGCAGGAACAGGCCAGCAAGCCCTGGGAGCGCAGCAGGGCAGCGTGGCAGCTGCCCCGAGGGAGCAGTCAGGGAGAGGCAAACCCACCGCAGGGCTCTGGCTGTGCCGCTGACTTCATGCTGGGGGATGCACGGGCTGTCAGAGTCTGATGGCCTCTGTGACCCGACAGAAATGTTATCTAAGTGCAGTGTGGCTGGCAAAGCAGCCCCAGTGCTCTCGTCCTGCGGCGTTCGAAACAACTCCTGGTCGTAGAAGGATTTCAGGGATGAATTCCTGAAAAGCAGCGGCTCTTTGCCTTCTGCCAGATCTGAGGGTCGTGCTGTAGATGGCCGTTTGCGTAGCCTGGGAGTGCTTGAGAAGGTTAAGTGGCGGTATGCAGTCAACCTGGCTTCTAAGGACTTGCTCCTTACTGATTGATGAGTCTCTTATCCTGAGCTTTGAATGCCAGAAAATAATAGCTTAGGGTGTGGGGAAACAATGGCTTTAGGAAAAGAAATTGAAGAGCAGGTCTGAAGTGGCTTTTCCTGTTCCTCAGGTGATATATCTGAATTTAGCTAGTGTGGTGGCAGCCAGGGTGACTTCTTGGAGCTGGGCTTTCCCAGCCCCGGGCAGGACGTGCTCCCTGCCAGGCTCAGCCCTCGCCCTCCGGCCCGGGATCCTGCGCTGCAGAGCCCGGCGTGGGCAGCACGGAGCACTGAGCGACCGGCCCTGCTGAAGGCGTTCCTGCGCTCCGGCCGTTGCTGATGGGACAACGCTGACCCGTGCCCCTCAACCTGCTCTGGGTGGTTGAGACACTTCGCGGCGTCTCCCCATTCTCTGTGAATCTCTTCCCAGCTCATTGCCTGCTTGTTCCAGCTGGGATAGAGCTCCGAGAGGTCTCCCACGTTGCATTTAGGAGCGACTCAGAAATATAAAAGGTTAAAGCCCTCTCCCATGAATTGCTCATCCACTGTGATTCCAAATCCCCGTGAAGGCTGCGTGGTGGAGCAGAGGGGTTGGAAGGGCTCTGTCGTTCTCACAGCACCGGGGCAGGGTGGCGGCTGTCCGTCCCGGCTCTGCGGCGCACGGTGACAGAACAGCTCGTTTCGGAGGGTTACAGCTCCCCAAGTCGCTTGTCTGTGCCTCCCAGCTCGGAGGGCGGTAGGGACAGACCCCGGTACTGGCTGAAGACAAGCTCTCCTTGCTAACCGCTGCGTGTTCTCACGCGCCGGGGCGCGGGCTGATGTCGGGGGAAGCTTTCAGGCCTTTGGTGGAGGTGGTTCATCTCGTGGGGAGGATGAGAAACATCCCTCCATCATCTTCTCTTGCTTTTTCTAGATTGCAGGAATGAAGAACTGTTGCCTAAATGGAAAGTGCCAGCATTCCCGACTTCAAAACCTTATGGAAATTAATAACATATCTGAAGAAGCTTCTCCTGTTTTTATATACCATGAGAAGATTTAGATCTTAAAATGGTTTGCACACAGTCCCTGGAAAAAGAAATTGCTCTGTGTATCTCTCTCGGAAATTTGAGACAATAGTACTCCTCCTTTGCAATAGCAATTAACAGATGTGAAAACAAATATAATTGACTCTAGTGTATGATCCTACAAAGGAGCATGGATGCATTTCAAACGTTAGATATTGCTACTACAATTAAAATTTCATATTGACCCTTTTATCTTAATTTCTTGTCATCGAGCACTAAAAATGTTCCACCGTTACATTTTATATCTACAAGCATAGATATGTATTATCTGAAATTTCCCTTTGAACTCACTGCAACAAATAACTTTTTGAGTCATTGACTTCATTTTATATTTAAAAGTTACGGAATATCATTATTTTCATTCTGCCATTATATTCTCATTGAAAATGTTTGTGCATAATGCTTTGGAAAAATGGGTCTTTTATAGGAAAAAACTGGGATAACTGATTTCTATGGCTTTAAAAGCAAAAATATATAATATACTAAACCAACTCTAATATTGCTTCTTGTGTTTTACTGTCACAGATTAAATTACAGCTTTTACGAATGATTAAATTTTAGTACATTTTCATTTTGTTTCTGTGTTTTTGTTACGGTTCCCAGGCTTTGGTTTTTATCCATGTTTTGTGAATTCCTCTTCCATTCCGGTAGATCAGGGATTGTGTTACAGCGCATACTCCCAGTGTGTCGTTCTGCCGACGCGATGTCTTCACCCACCCTCCTCGTGGGATGTATGTAATCGTACCGTACAGAAGGCTACTTTTCATTAGCTCTGTGTATTCCTTTGAATGTTTCAAGACTGTATTCTGCTGAAAACACTTCCTCTGTACGATTACTTTTATATGTGCAACGTTGGTTTGCTGTTGTATCGAGGTCTGACCGTTCCTACCATCCTTGGTTTCGCTCCGTCACGCGCGCGGG